AGCGGTTTTGGTTGAGGTATGTCTTATTTTAGACTGATTTCAGACTCTGCGACAACGCGTGTCGATGCGCTATCGTTGTAGTCGTGCTCCGATGCTAATCAATTCTGACATGTCTTACCTATTTCCGCTTACTATTCATACCTTTTTTGTAAAAGAATTTTTTCCCCGTATTTATTTCCTCAGAATGTTTCAGTGAGGGGATGGTATTCGTAATTCGATGTTCCATCATTCATGTTGTCCCCACGTCTTGTTCCAGTTTTCGAAGTGTTTTCATCTCCTGTCAAGCTCGGGCTCTCCAGCATCTTTGTTTTGCGGAGAGCTAGTTAGTTTCTCAGTTTCCCTTTTGCTTCTGTTTCTCTTTATTCCAACTCGTAGGAGTGAAAGCTCGCGCAAAAAAGAAGAACTAGAAGAACTGAAAATTAGCGAAAACTAGGCTTCCATAACACTCGGACGGCCTGCAAAAAAATGAAAAAGAGAAACAAATACAACCTTATCCACAAGCTCTCAGCAGAACGAAGATGTTGGAAGCAAGAGCTGAAGTTAGAAGCCTAAACTCGACTGGAGCTAGGAACACTCCCGAAATAAGGAGCAAAAAATGGCGCAGTTCGGCGACGGGGGCACTTTTCCCTTTCGCTTCTTCCCATCGTCGGGCGGAATGCTTTACGAGAGTAGGCGTGTGGTTTCTACAAGCATTTTCTGGTATCATTTCATGGCTTCACAAGACTTTTGAAGGACTGCACATGATGTACGGCATGTCGCTGAGAAGAAGCAAAAGTGCAAAAGGCCCCACCGTTTCGTCGCCGAACTGTGCGCAAAAGTGATGTGGGGACAATATGCAAGACGAGACTTTGAAATATCAGTATAACCCCGAGATTGAAACGGTTGAAATATCAGTATAACCCCGAGATTGAAACGGTCTGAAATCGAAAATGAAATCCAATATGACGCAAGGAGATGAATAGTAAACGAAAAAAGGTGAAGAGAGTTCAGATGGGTGGCAGTGGGGCGCGGGTGCAGCGCTATTGCGCTCGTTCGTCGTCGCGAAGTCTGAATACAGCCTCATTTCCTGGCTCTTCAAACTATTGATAGAAAACACGTCTAAAGGGAACGATTACTGTTCAGATTCTTCTATCTCTACCAATTTTTCTTTTATGCATATCAATACCGCTTTGGTGGTCAATACGGAGGAATGGCTCTTGTCACTTCAACTGCATTTATATTTGTACGTATTGTTGCATTTATTCAGTGTGTCAGTAATTTACCTATTAACCATAGTTTCTAAGTGATTTGTTGTTTCAGCACTCGATG